GTAGTTGTCCTTTGCTTCCTTCTTTTCCATTCTCCGGTGTAAATTCTACAAAATAAGGAAAATATATTTGTAATAAAAAAAAAAAACTTTACTCTTCATTCTACGGGTAACTAACCTGTATAACGTTTTTGTACCCAACTTTATTATTTCTTGACCGATTTTATTTATTTTTCATATAAATCGAAGCACGATTAGTCCTCTTTCTGCATATCCATACGTAGTAAACCGTTCTTACGTTCAGAAAGTAGTATTCCTCCAAATATATCGTCATGTATGAAGGAAGGATTTTCTTCGTAGGCCATCGTTACAATTTCTAGAAAGAACCATTTAAATATCGTAGGAAATTATTAATAGAGTTATTTATTCGTCATATAAATTCACTTACCTTATATTTAACGTAAAAAATCCATCGAAAATGAGAAACTAAGTAGTTCGAACGGCGGCAACTTTTCCCGTCGGCAAGTCGAATTATTCGAAATCAAAATGTCCGACCGAACCGAAACCGAAAAAAAAAATTACAAGCCAGCATTTCGCCGAACGATGGAAATGCGACGACAGTCCCCTCTCCGTTCTCTTTGTGTCTCGATGTGACGTCACACGCGCTAGCATAGCGACCGGCCGGGAATCCCTCTCTCCCGTATCCCGGTGCATCGACGAAGATTTTCTGCTATAACTCCGGAACGGGTTAAGATATCATAATCGGGTTTGTTTTGTTGGTTGAAAGAAACTTCAATTAACAATTTTGAAAGAATAATTTTTTTTCGAAAACCCAATAGTTTCCGAGTAAATGGAGTGTATTTGTTTAAAATTTTAATCCGGGAAAATTTTAATTTCCCTATAACTTGGAAACTAAGCTTTTGTTGGAAATGCGGTTTGCGGGAGGTAATAAGTAATTAAATGAAGAATATTTTAGGAAAGTTTAAAAAAAATCGTGGGAGTAGTTTTCGAGAAATTCCGAAAAACTCCAAAAAAAAGGGTAAAAATCCGGTTTTTTACCCGGAAGGAAACTTTTCCGGGTTTCGAAATGTCGATTTTCCGATAGATCTCGTCGATTTACGTAGGATAGGATTTTTTTCCGTTTTTTTACGCCGCGAATAAAGCCGTAAAAAAAAAAACACGCCAATCAGTCAGTGAATGAATGAATGAGTGTCGGTTTCAGCTGTATAGTTATTAGACTCGCTGAAAGCTCGGAAAGGGGGCTTCGCCCCCTTTCAACCCCCCCGCGGCACAAAGCCAAGGCCTACCGGCCTTGTCTTTCGTACCGCGGTTTTGGTCACTGACCCGAAAAGTAAGAGGCTTATGAAATCTGAAGAAAAAACTGCCCACGTTACTAAACAAACTTTCCTACAGATAAATCAAATTATACCTTTATAAACCGAGCGAGCGAAGCGGATGACGAGCATCCCAAGTAGTTATGGTAGGCTTCTCTCTCATAGGTAATTTTAATATTTACCCTTCACTAAGCGAGTGAAGATCATGTTCCCCAAATGTCAAAGTAGTAAAAGGCCGCAGTCATCAAATTGCCGGTGCAGGAATTCCAATACTCTCACGTTTAAAATAGTTACAGAATCCTAAAAAATGAATAAATACATTAGAAATGGGTTCATTTTCATATAACATTCAATACTTTTCTTTTCAGTATTCACTTTGAAGGAAAGCATTTTGGTAAAAGGTAAAAGAAAACTTCGAAATATGCATTTATACATACGTTTATATTAAATGCTCGATGACAAAAACAGAAAGAACCAAATAATAAATATTTTTTTAAATCATTTAGAACTGTCTAAAACTATTTAAAAGATTCTAGAATCATTAAGAATTCCTCGGAATCACTTACAACTCTTCAGAATCATTTAAAACTGTATAGATCATTTAGAACGTTATAGTACCATTAGAACCCTCTACAATCATTTAGAACTATCTAAAACCATTTAGGATGCTCTAGAATCATGTACAAAGTTTTTGCATAATGTAGAACGTTCTACAATAATTTAGAACGCTGCAGTATTTTTTGCAATTTTTCAGAATCATTTAGAATTGTTTAAACCCTTTTTTATACCGTTTTAGAATTATTTAAAATGCTCCAGTAATAATTACAATATTTCAGAATCATTTAGAATGCTCCAGTATCATTTGCAATATTTGAAAATCATTTAAAACTTTTTAGAATAATTTAGAACGTTCTACAATCATTTAGAACTGTTCAGAATTATTTAAAACACTTCAGAATCTTTTAGAACTATTTAAACCCATATAGAATGTATCAAAATAAATTAGAATGCTCCAGTATCATTTACAATATTTTGGAATCCTTTTGAACTGTTTAAACTTATATAGAACGTCTTAGAATTATTTACAATGTTTCAGAATCATTCAGAACAGTCTAGAATAATTTAGAACGTTCTACAATCATTTAGAATGCTCCAAAACGATTTACAACGCTTTAGAGTCATTTAGAACTGCCCAGAATCGTTCAGAACGGATCCAGTTCGTCATATACTGTCGTAAAAAACCGCAAGGACATTGATCTGCTGGTAAAGGAATCAATTAGAGCGAAAAATTCTGCTATCCAGGTGTCTTGACTAACTTGTAGAAGACCGTAGAGATTACAGAAGCTTGAAACGGCTTCAGAATCCTGAAAAATAGAATAAGAATCATTAAAAATGGGTTTATTCTAATAGAAAATTCAATTCTTACCTTTTTAGTATTCATTTTGAAGACATAATAGTCTTGAAAACGGAAGAAAACGGGCAAAATTCCAAGGAAACTCTCAAAATTATCCAAATTGACTGTATTGCTAGTCATATCGAGTTCGAATCCTCTCTCATAAGGCTTGAAACAGCATTATAATCCTGAAAAATAGAAAAAAAATCATTAAAAAAAGGTTCATTCCCATAGAAAATTCAATTCTTACCTTTTTAGTATTCATTTTGAAGACATAATAGTCTTGAAAACGGAAGAAAACGGGCAAAATTCCAAGGAAACTCTCAAAATTATCCAAATTGACTGTATTGCTAGTCATATCGAGTTTGAATCCTCTCTCATAAGGCTTGAAACAGCTTTATAATCCTGAAAAATAGAAGAAAAAAAATTAAAAATGGGTTCATTCCCATAGAAAATTTAATTCTTACCTTTTTAGTATTCATTTTAAAGACATAATAGTCTTGAAAACGGATGAAAACGGTCGAAATTCAAAGGAAACTCTCCAAATTATCCAAATTGACTGTATTGCTAGTCATATCGAGTTCGAGTCCTCTCTCATAAGGCTTGAAACAGCTGAATAATCCTGAAAAATAGAAAAAAAACATTAAAAATGGGTTCATTCTTATAGAAAATTCAATTCTTACCTTTTTAGTATTCATTTTGAAGACATAATAGTCTTGAAAACGGATGAAAACGGTCGAAATTCAAAGGAAACTCTCCAAATTATCCAAATTGACTGTATTGCTAGTCATATCGAGTTTGAATCCTCTCTCATAAGGCTTGAAACAGCTTTATAATCCTGAAAAATAGAAGAAAAAAAATTAAAAATGGGTTCATTCCCATAGAAAATTTAATTCTTACCTTTTTAGTATTCATTTTAAAGACATAATAGTCTTGAAAACGGATGAAAACGGTCGAAATTCAAAGGAAACTCTCCAAATTATCCAAATTGACTGTATTGCTAGTCATATCGAGTTTGAATCCTCTCTCATAAGGCTTGAAACAACTTTATAATCCTGAAAAATAGAAGAAAAAAAATTAAAAATGGGTTCATTCCCATAGAAAATTTAATTCTTACCTTTTTAGTATTCATTTTGAAGACATAATAGTCTTGAAAACGGAAGAAAACGGGCAAAATTCCAAGGAAACTCTCAAAATTATCCAAATTGACTGTATTGCTAGTCATATCGAGTTTGAATCCTCTCTCATAAGGCTTGAAACAGCTTTATAATCCTGAAAAATAGAAGAAAAAAAATTAAAAATGGGTTCATTCCCATAGAAAATTTAATTCTTACCTTTTTAGTATTCATTTTAAAGACATAATAGTCTTGAAAACGGATGAAAACGGTCGAAATTCAAAGGAAACTCTCCAAATTATCCAAATTGACTGTATTGCTAGTCATATCGAGTTCGAGTCCTCTCTCATAAGGCTTGAAACAGCTGAATAATCCTGAAAAATAGAAAAAAAACATTAAAAATGGGTTCATTCTTATAGAAAATTCAATTCTTACCTTTTTAGTATTCATTTTGAAGACATAATAGTCTTGAAAACGGAAGAAAATGGTCGAAATTCAAAGGAAACTCTCCAAATTATCCAAATTGACTGTATTGCTTGTCGTATCGAGTTCTAATCCTCTCTCATAAGGCTTGAAACAGCTTTATAATCCTGAAAAATAGAATAAAAAAACATTAAAAATTGGTTTATTCTAATAGAAAATTCAATTCTTACCTTTTTAGTATTCATTTTAAAGACATAATAGTCTTGAAAACGGAAGAAAATGGTCGAAATTCAAAGGAAACTCTCCAAATTATCCAAATTGACTGTATTGCTTGTCGTATCAAGTTCTAATCCTCTCTCATAAGGCTTGAAAAAAGCTGAATAATCCTGAAAAATAGAATAAAAATCATTAAAAATGGGTTCATTCTTATAGAAAATTCAATTCTTACCTTTTTAGTATTCATTTTGAAGACATAATAGTCTTGAAAACGAAAGAAAACTATCAAAATTCCAAAGAAGCTCTCCAAATTATCCAAATTGACTGTATTGCTAGTCATATCGAGTTCAAATCCTCTCTCATAATGCTTGAAACAGCTGAATAATCCTGAAAAATAGAAAAAAAACATTAAAAATGGGTTCATTCTTATAGAAAATTTAATTCTTACCTTTTCAGTATTCATTTTAAGGACATAATAGTCTTGAAAACGGAACAAAACGGTCAAAATAGCTTCATAATCCTAAAAAATAGAAAAAGAATCATTAAAAAAAGGTTCATTCTAATAGAAAATTTAATTCTTACCTTTTCAGTATTCATTTTAAGGACAGAGTAGTCTTGAAAACGGAACAAAACGGTCAAAATAGCTTCATAATCCTGAAAAAATAGAAAAAGAATCATTAAAAAAAGGTTCATTATCAAAGAAAATTTAATTCTTACCTTTTCAGTATTCATTTTAAAGGTAAAAGCATTCTGATAAAAGGTAGAAAACGGTAAATAATACAGTGAAACTCTAAATTACTCAAATTTACCCTTTTTAATTTTACTGATAACAAAAAATCATTCGTTATCAAGTTATTTTTCAACCAATTTTAATGATTTCTGTTTTAAGTAAATGCATTCGAATGATATTTTGTCTTGTTAACATATGATTAGTAAGTACTTACGTTTTAAATACATTATTCTGGTACCCGAGGATACTCCGATCGAAGTAAAAGATGTTTCGAAGAATGGTAAAAATCGTAGAAAAAATCGAAAATATTGTCCTAATTGTTGTTGGTGGTTTGCTTTACGTTTCTAGTAGTCATTTACTTCCTATTTTTCAGTGTCAATCCTGCAAAATAAGGGAAAATTATAAGTAAAACAAGAATCTAACGTTCCTTTTTATTCTACGGGTAACAAAAAATCATTCGATACTTTGTTAAATATCAATAAATTTTTACGATTTTCGTATAAAACAATCTTAATCGAATGATATTTTGTGTTAATAAAGCTTTTATCAAGTACTTACGATTTAAGCAGCTTATACTTTTGAATAAAAGTAACCCACGTAGTTCTTCGAACGAAGGTAAAATGTTTGGTTCATTCATCTTCGTTATTTCTGGACCAATTTTAATCATTTTCTCTTTAAAACGACGCTTACTTAGTCCTCTTTCGGCTTATCCATACTCTGGAAACTGTATTTACACCCAAAAAGTGGTATTCCTCCAAATGTAACACCATGTATTGAGGTAGGATTTTCTACGTAGGCCATTCTTCAAATCCAATTATTGACCAATTATCAAGGGAATTTGACACAATATGCTTACTGGGTCCTTTTTCTCAACTTCAGTTAGCTATTTTTTGTCAAATATAGGCTGCAGGTCCTCTATAAAGTAAAATAATTTGGTTAAAAAGCGGCTTTATGAAACTTAACCTACAATGTTTTAAATGGGTTATTTCTTATACGGGACCATTTAAATATCGTAGATTGTTTTGTAAAGGTATTAAATCGTCAAATAAGCTCACTTACCTTGAATTTAACGCTGAAAATCCGGAAAAAAAGGAAAATATAAGTAAAAGGAAAAAAAAACTACTCTTCATTCTACAGGTTACTAAAAATCATTTCTTGCTACGTTATTTTTGTAATTTTTGGTCAAAATTAATGTATTTGAATGATATTTTGTAGTATTAACGTATTATTAGTAAGTACTTACGTATTAAACATACTATTCTTGTGTTCGAAGACTCTTTGATCGAAGTACAGGGTTATTCGGTGAGTGTTGAAAAAGGCAGAAAAAATCCAAAATATGACTCCAATCGTTGTTTCCTGATTTATTTCGGGCTAGTAGTTGTCCTTTGCTTCCTATTTTGTTCTATTTTCCAGTGTAATTCCTACAAAATAAGGAAAATATAAGTAAAAGAAAAAAAAAACATATTCTTCATTGAACGGATAACAAAAAATCAGTCGTAAATACGTTAAATTTATGATTTGTTTTTCAAAATTAATGTATTCGAATGATATTTTGTATTATTAACCTATTATTATTAAGTACTTACCTATTAAACATACTATTCTTGTTTTCGAAAGACTCTTCGATCGAAGTACAGGGTTATTCGGTGAGTGTTGAAAAAGGCAGAAAAAATCCAAAATATGACTCCAATCGTTGTTTCCGGTTTATTTCGAGCTAGTAGTTGTCCTTTGCTTCCTTCTTTTTCATTTTTCGGTGTAAATTCTACAAAAAAAAAGGAAAATATATTTGTAATTAAAAAAAAACTCCACTCTTCATTCTACGGGTAACTAACCTGTATAACGTTTTTGTACCCAACTTCATTAGTTCTTGACTGATTTTATCCATTTTTCATATAAATCGAAGCACTATTAGTCCTCTTTTTGCATATCCATACGTAGTAAACGTTTCTTACGTTCAGAAAGTAGTATTCCTCCAAATATATCGTCATGTATGAAGGAAGGATTTTCTTCGTAGGCCATCGTTACAATTTCTAGAAAGAACCATTTAAATATCGTAGGAAATTATTAATAGAGTTATTTATTCGTCATATAAATTCACTTACCTTATATTTAACGTAAAAAATCCATCGAAAATGAGAAACTAAGTAGTTCGAACGGCGGCAACTTTTCCCGTCGGCAAGTCGAATTATTCGAAATCAAAATGTCCGACCGAACCGAAACCGAAAAAAAAAAAAAATTACAAGCCAGCATTTCGCCGAACGATGGAAATGCGTCCTTTGCTTCCTTCTTTTCCATTCTCCGGTGTAAATTCTACAAAAGAAGGAAAATATATTTGTAATTAAAAAAAAACTTTACTCTTCATTCTACGGGTAACTAACCTGTATAACGTTTTTGTACCCAACTTCATTATTTCTTGACCGATTTTATTCATTTTTCATATAAATCGAAGCACGATTAGTCGTCTTTCTGCATATCCATACGTATTAAACGGTTCTTACGTTCAGAAAGTAGTATTCCTCCAAATATATCGTCATGTATGAAAGAAGGATTTTCTTCGTAGGCCATCGTTACAATTTCTAGAAAGAACCATTTAAATATCGTAGGAAATTATTAATAGAGTTATTTATTCGTCATATAAATTCACTTACCTTATATTTAACGTAAAAAATCCATCGAAAATGAGAAACTAAGTAGTTCGAACGGCGGCATCTTTTCCCGTCGGCAAGTCGAATTATTCGAAATCAAAATGTCCGACCGAACCGAAACCGAAAAAAAAAAATTACAAGCCAGCATTTCGCCGAACGATGGAAATGCGACGATGGTCCCTCTCCGTTCTCTTTGTGTCTCGATGTGACGTCACACGCGCTAGCATAGCGACCGGCCGGGAATCCCTCTCTCCCGTATCCCGGTGCATCGACGAAGATTTTCTGCTATAACTCCGGAACGGGTTAAGATATCATAATCGGGTTTGTTTTGTTGGTTGAAAGAAACTCCAATTAACAATTTTGAAAGAATAAATTTTTTTCGAAAACCCAATAGTTTCCGAGTAAATGGAGTGTATTTGTTTAAAATTTTAATCCGGGAAAATTTTCATTTCCCTATAACTTGGAAACTAAGCTTTTGTTGGAAATGCGGTTTGCGGGAAGTAATTAATAATCAAATGAAGAATATTTTAGGAAAGTTTAAAAAAAATCGTCGGGGTACTTTTTGAGAAATTCCGAAAAACTCCAAAAAACGACAAAAAAAAGGGTAAAAATCCGGTTTTTTACCCGGAAGGAAACTTTTCCGGGTTTCGAAATGTCGATTTTCCGATAGATCTCGTCGATTTACGTAGGATAGGATTTTTTTCCGTTTTTTTACTCCGCGAATAAAGCCGTAAAAAAAAAAACACGCCAATCAGTCAGTGAATGAGTGTCGGTTTCAGCTGTATAGGTATTAGATATGTGATATCACTGTATGCGTGTGCATGTGAATGTGTGTGCATGGTTTGTGTTTACTTACTTTGTTATTCAATAGCTACAATAACATTTTAAATATTTTAAAAATACAAATAAGTATTAATAAATAAGTAAGTGAATATAATTGAATCAACTAATAATATAACATTACTCACATTATTGACAACTGTAATTAGTATTTTTTGTAAATATTAAAATTGTTTTGGTTAATTGGTTTTGGTTATTTATTTGTAACTAATTTTTGGTGTTTGTTAATTGGTTTTAGTTATTTATTTGTAACTTATTTTTGCTGTTTGTTAATTGGTTTTGGTTATTTATTTGTAACTAATTTTTGGTGTTTGTTAATTGGTTTTAGTTATTTATTTGTAACTTATTTTTGCTGTTTGTTAATTGGTTTTGGTTATTTATTTGTAACTAATTTTTGGTGTTTGTTAATTGGTTTTAGTTATTTATTTGTAACTTATTTTTGCTGTTTGTTAATTGGTTTTGGTTATTTATTTGTAACTAATTTTTGGTGTTTGTTAATTGGTTTTGCTTATTTATTTGTAACTTATTTTTGCTGTTTGTTAATTGGTTTTGGTTATTTATTTGTAACTTATTTTTGGTGTTTGTTAATTCCAACTTTGTTTTTGTGATGGTATGATATTTGCTAGTCTGTGGCTTTGTAAATAAGTCTTTAAATGCTTGTAACATTTATTTTGCATGTTTATTCACTGTAAATTCTCATTTCGCTTAACCATAGTTCAAACATTTATGCACTATTGCACGAATTACTAATTCGATTCGATTGTCTGCATTGTAAATAACATTTGCTAGTTCAACTGCTTTTTTAAGCACTTTATTGTAAGAACAGCATTGTTAATCATAGCATGGTTGTCACTGATTATATAAAATCATCATCTCTATGCATTCAGCTTTTTGCAGCACAAATTTTACCTGTACGTATGTAACGTACTACGTATAACAGTAGACCAGTGCCTAAATACATATGTTGGGAACAATATGGTGCGATTTGTAATAACATTGTAAGTTCGCCTGCATAAATATAATAATCGGACAGCAAACTGACTACGTTCATTTATATTCATTGGTGGATTAAAATAAACATTTTTTTTTAAATATGTTTCTTATTCTCCTTCCTACTCCTTTGTTTAGTCCCTGGAGCGTGTGGCAACTGCGCGTTTTGTGAACGGCAGTTAGAACGGGAGCGAGGGTGGCTGGCAACAGCGCCTGAGAGACGTGTGGCGACAAGAGAGCTTGCGAATGCGAAGGTTAGGAAAAACTCGTGCTAGTATAAGCAGTTATTATTGTAAATTTTGCTGTAAAAATACAACTTTGGGAAACTTAGTGCCTGGAATTATTTATTCTACATCAGCGAGTCAGTTCATGGTCCATCGACACGGATAGGCACGGGTGGAAACACGAGTAACGGGAAATCGACGTAAGCAAGGTGAATCGACGATCGACACGAGGGTCGATAGAAAATCGAGACACGAGAAACAACGTGGAGCAACGGCAGGGAATCTACGGTTCGGCGAATCGCACTGGAACTCGGCATATTTGTGAGTACCTATCTTTCCTTGATTCCTATTTATTCGTTTTATGCATGCCTTGATTTGACCGAATAAAGTAGATTTGGGATTAAAAATGGCGGATGAAAATTTAAAGCGTAAAAGGGGTATTATGAAGGCCAATATGAGCCGGGTGGTAAAGTTTTTGGATAGATTTACGGAAGATCAAGCGCCGCAGATTGCTGCTAGGCGTAAGGTTTGCGAGGAGGCCTGGCTTGGTTTTAATGAGATTCAATTGGAAATAGAACTGGCTAATTTGGAAACGGAAGATGAAAGTGAGATAGAAAGAAATGCGTTCGTTGAGGTTTACTGCCAAAATGTTGCAAAATTGGACACGTTAAGTGTTAATTCGCTATCGGGCGCTTCGGGTACGGGCAGCGTGAGCGTGAGCAATGGGTCGTTTGGGACTAGGGGCGCGCATGCGCAAGGGATAATTAGTGAAATTAACTTACCGGCAATTGAGGTACCATCGTTCGGCGGGGCATTCGAGACTTGGCTCGAATTTCGGGATATTTTTGTTGGTATGGTACACTCAAACGGGAAACTGTCGGACACGCAGAAATTTTATTATTTAAAAAAGGCGTTAACGGGCGAGGCCGCGGACGTAATACGATCGCTGGATAATTCTACGGTAAATTATGATGAGGCGTGGAACTTGTTGACGGAAACGTATGAAAATAAAAAACTGATTGCGCTGAGTCATCTAAAGGGGTTGTATGAATTTCCAGTGATGGAAAATGAGTCTTACGTGAATTTAAAGAAGTTTGTAAATCAGATCAGAAATGATGTTAGGGCATTGCGTAACGTGGAGGTACCAGTCGACCAATGGGATATAATTCTAGTATTTTTATTGGAAATGAAGTTGGATAAAGTTACTCGACGGGAATGGGGAAAAAGGGTTCCTTTAAAGGAGTTTGCGACACTGGGGAGTTTTGTTGAGTTTTTGGTACATAAAAGTCAATATTTGGAGTCTGAAAAGGACGATAGTGTTGCAAAAAGGGCGACCCAGGCGGGAACAAAGACTGGACCGGATAAAGCCAAATGGCACGGGGT